GTTAGTCACTTGCGTGAAGAACCAGGGCGGGTGTTCGTGGGTCTGCGAACATTGGTGTTGGATACATGTGCTAGGTGATGTTGTGTCACGCAGACTGGTAAGATTACCGTTTTGGTAGGAGGCACCGCGATGATTCACGGGGCCCCTCCTTGCTGTGGGAGCCGCTCTTTGAGCACTCCCTCTTTCGTGCGTGTGCAGGACGGTTGTGGACCTCTCGTGAAGTTAATACATCACCAAAACAGTCTCACCCGTTAAATAAGTGGCGTAGGCCGCAAACAGACTCTACACTCAGCAAAGGCGAAGCACTCGAAACAGACTCCACTCCAATCGTCACACCTATCCTATCGTAAAAATCATCGGGGTGAGACTTGCCTAGAGGCACAGATTGTGCCGTGCAGAGGTGGAGGTAACCCGAAGATGGAGGCGCTCCAGGAGAAGGAGTGGAGGACGATGGGGAAGCGGTGCTGCTGCTGCTCGGGGGGGGCTGACGTGGCTGCTCAGTTGAGGACGAATCTTCGCGTGCAGGAGGGTAGTAGACGTAGTGGATGCCGCCGTCAGACGTACGGCTGTCTTCATACCCCTCAGAGTAGCTGTAGCTGTCTCCGGTGCCCGCTTCGACGTAGTACTCGTACCCCGAGTCGTGGTAGCCATCGTCGTAGTATTAGCCGTCGTCGTAGTCGCCGTGATCCTCGTAGTAGCCGGGCGTAGTATACTACGTACGCCTGCTCTCTCCCGTGGCCGGAGCGCGCGTGCCTCGGGCCTCTACATGCCCGCTCTCGCTCGGCACGACCATCGCTGCCGTGGCGTCCCGAGGGCCCTCGACCCCCCGGGTGCCGCCCCAGACGACCACCAGGCCCACGTCCACGNGCCCGCTCTCTCTCGGCACGCCCGTCGCTGCTGTGGCGTCCCGAGGGCCCTCGACCCCCCGGGTGCCGCCCCAGACGACCACCAGGCCCACGTCCACGAGGAGGTCGCGGGGGGGTTGAGGCGTGGCTCCAGCCACCGCCACCATGACCGGTGTGGTGCTGCTGCCCTTCAACTCTCACCCAGCGCCCGCTACCCCGGCCGGCTCCCGACGGCGGTCTTCCTCCTCGCTGGCTCCAGCCGCCGCCACGGCCTCCGCCGCCACCCCCGCGGCGATCCTCGGCGGCTGCTCTCGTGCGCGCCCGCCGCAGATGCTGCTGGTAACAGCATTGCCCGTTCGTGTGTAGTTCGGACTGGTGGTAGCGGCAAAAACCGGTGGGATCTTCGACGAACACGTCACGGTTTCTCTCGCCATCACGGATTTCACGGTCTTGACCGTCGACTACTCCTTGTCCCCCGGATGCCCCCCCATTGCCCCCGCCGCTCCGGCTCGCACCGGACGCGACGAGGGCGAGCTCCGCCTCGCGCCTCTGCTCCTTGCTCCTCTCGCGCTCCATCTCCATGTGGGCGTTCCTCACCACACNCCCCCATTGCCCCCGCCGCTCCGGCTCGCACCGGACGCGACGAGGGCGAGCTCCGCCTCTCGCCTCTGCTCCTTGCTCCTCTCGCGCTCCATCTCCATGTGGGCGTCCCTCACCACAGTCTCAAGGGCATGCAAAGTCACGACATCGCTTGCTAGCAATATTCCTTTTTGCACGGCATACGATGGGGGAAGGCCGCGCACAACGTCCTTGTTAGCATGTGTTGTGTCTTTGATAGTTCCTACTGAGGCAAGACGTAATCGAAGAGCTTCCGACCTTGCTATGTAATCCTGTGGGTTCTCCGACTCACGCATTTCTAACGCCAACCACTCTTGCTCAAGCCTAGTCTTCTCAGACTCCTTCTTCTCTTGGTAGAAATTCGTGACGATCTTCCACCCCTGCTCGGGACTCTCACATGCCATGATCAAGTTCTGGATCGGAGGGTATAGAATCTTATTGATGATAATATTCCACAACTTCAAGGACTTGTCCACCACATCAGTCCCGAAGATGCCCCTGAGCTCAGCTAGATCCACACCCCTCTTGCCAACCTTGACATCAGTCATCCCTAATACATCATATACACCCTCCTCCTGAAAATACGACACCATCTTACTGCGAAAAACATCAAACATAAGGTACAAATCCTGCGNGGACTCTCACATGCCATGATCAAGTTCTGGATCGGAGGGTATAGAATCTTATTGATGATAATATTCCACAACTTCAAGGACTTGTCCACCACATCAGTCCCGAAGATGCCCCTGAGCTCAGCTAGATCCACACCCCTCTTGCCAACCTTGACATCAGTCATCCCTAATACATCATATACACCCTCCTCCTGAAAATACGACACCATCTTACTGCGAAAAACATCAAACATAAGGTACAAATCCTGCGCTTTCTTCACACTTCCAAGCCAAGGGTCTATCTCAGAGCCGGGGTTGACACGAAACGTGCCTGTGTGGGCAAAGCCCTGATGTCCAGACATGGCCTCGGCTGTCGCCTTGACCGCTTGCGCCACGATGTTGGCGACGTTGGTGGGATTGTTGAAGGATTGGGATCCCTGGCTGGAGGGTGAAGGCTGGTTGCCGGTGGGCGGTATGTCGGCTGGTGTGGGATGGGACGACTGCTCGCCGGTGGTGGGCGACTGCTGTTCTGCTGGCAGTGGGGCGATTTCTGCTTTCTCCTTCGCGAGTTGGGCGTCCACCCTTCGCTGAACTTCTTGTTGCAGCTCTTCTTTGCTGAGGGTGGAGAGGTCGATTTCGGAATTTTCCGAGGTAGCCATGATGTTGTTGTTGTGGGAGTCTACCGATTGCGCGTGAATGCACCACCCCCGGGTATACTACGACCGCGCGCAGAATCTGAATCTGATTCGCACTAGTGTGGAAGATAAACTACGCGGGGTGCAGCAAGCCCGTGTTGGGCGTCTCTTGGGGCAGTGGGTAGTCGGCCGTGTTAGACCGAGAGAGAGAGGTAGAGATAGAGGTGGCGTTGGCGTTGGAGAAAGCGTTGAAGAAGGAAACTTGATTGGAGAGAGACGGCGGTAGCGGTGGAGAGCGAAAGCAGTGCGCTACATGCGCGAGCCTCCAACACCGCAACCAAGGCCAAAAGGGGCCCCGTATCTGCATCGGTGGTACACATTAACATACGAAATTCCCAACACGCATCCCCCAGGATCCTCACGTCTAGAGACTGCTGCGAGTATATCTAACAGTCCCAACAGGCACCAAGGTCCCCTGCACCAGGCGCTCCAACTCGCGAGAAAATACGACGGTGGTGCCAGCATCGGCGCCGACGGCCACACCAACCACCCTACCATCATCTACAAAGGCCAGCGTATGCAACCCGCTTGGATCGAGGACAACAACGGAGTCCCCGATGCGAAGTACACCGTCACGGAGTCATCCTTCATCCGGAGCCACGTCTTCCTCGGCCACCTTCGAGACTTCAGCGAACAGCTCGATGCGCGCGGCTTGCAGGGCAAGTTTCCCTCGTCGTCGACGGCCACGCCTCGCACACGACCTTCGACGCCATCAGCTTGGCCATTTCCCTGGACATCGACGTCTTCCAGCTCCCATCCCACACATCGCACATCACCCAGCCCTTGGACGTCGGTACGTTGGGAACCTTCAAGAAGGAGCTCACCAGGGTGCTCAAGGCCTACCCACTGAAAAACGGGGGGAGGAGTCCGGTGAAGCGCGACATGGCTCGCGTGATTGCGGAGGCATGGAGAGGGAGCTTCGCGCCTTTGAACAACATGGTGGCATTCAAAGGGGCGGGTTTGTGGCCGGTGAACATGGAGAAGGCCATCAACCGACTACACAGCAAGAGGAACCAACGGGAGAATGATCGTCCTTTCCCTGAAGACCTCGCCGTCGTTGCCTCCAAGGAGCAGCTCTACCAAGACCTCGGCCGCGCTGCCCTCCTGGAGCTGATCGAGGGGCTCCTTGTCATCATCGTGTTCCTCGGCGGGCTCACCCGCCTCAGCAAGCGCTCCAAGATTTTCACGACTGTTTGGGCGGGCGGGGGTAAGCCCGAGGGCGGTCTCCTGTCCGCCGAAGAACACCTTGCTATTGCTAGGAAGGACAAAGAAGAGAAGGAGGCAGCTGAGAAAGCAAAGGCGGAACGCGCAGAGGCAAGGGCAGCGGGGGAGGCCAATGGACCAAGCGGAGCAGGTCGTGGGCAAGGCGGCGGGCGGGGCGGCGGGCGGGGCGGAGGGAGAGCCGGAGGGCGAGGCGCAGGGAGGAGTGGGGGGCGAGGCGAGGGAAGGGGTGGAGGGCGGGGAGAGATGAGCGTGAGGGGTGGGCAAAGCGGTACGCGGACGGAGGTTGGGGGGTGCGGTCGTGGTGGGCGTCAGGAAGGGCGAGACGGGCGTGGCCAGGGACAGGGTGGCCGGGGCCGCCCCGCTGGTGCTCGCGGAGGCGGAAGGGGGGCGGGTGGGCGGGTGGGGGCCGGTGCTCGCGTCCAAGGGGGAGCGGGACGGCCGAGAGGGGCGGTGGTTCCCTTGGTTCAGCCGGCCGCCGGCGGCCCCCGTTTCTTCTCGAGGACGGCAACGGACCCCGACACCAATCGTTAATGTTTAGACTAGATGCTCTACGGTTGTCGTTTTTTTCAGGAGTAGTCTACGCGGTGGATGGATTATTCGAGTCAGACGTACAGCAAACGCCATTTGAGCGTCTAGGTGCCGATATGCATATCAGGAATTGCATTTTGTTGTGCTTATCCCGCTCTTGGGAGTAGTTTTGGAGCATGCCACGGGGGGCAAGAGGGGGGGGTGGGGTTGCCTAGAGGTGTTTTCCGGAACCCCGGGGACGTTGAGATGCTGTCCCCGGGCCTGAAGGACTATTGATCGTTTTTCCTGCTTCGCGACTTGAGATGATCGCCTTGAAAGGAACTTTCGATGGGGCGCTCGGGTGGTGGGAAACAGTTTCGATTTTCTGCGAGAAGGCTCACCCCATCACCAAGCTGCTTCTTGCCTTGCTTGTCGAGTTTACGTGTTTGAATGTATGTAAAGAGGCGTCAAATGAGCCTCAGACGTCGTTGTTTTTTTTTACAGTCAAACTGCTCTGCCTTCGTGGTTTGTAGGGCTATGTAGAAATGCAAGGGGTGCACTCCAGGACNGGGGGGGGGGGGGGGGGGGGGGGGGGGGGGGGGGGGGGGGGGGGGGTGATACCTTGATTCGACCACAAAACCGGGGATATCGCCATTTCGTCCCCGGGTACGAATGGATTTTTTGTTCACAACAACGTTCCTTGTTGTAGAACACACGTACCCACCAAAGGGCGTCTTGTGGGAGTTAACGGTGAATGTTAACACATCGAAATGGCCTTAGGGTTGCTGGGGAGAATTCATACCGTAGCGGCCTGAACAGTGCCTGTTTTGGTGGGTACAACATCAGCGGCGCAAGGGATTTCATCCTGATTTCTTTTTAGGGAGTCGTTGTATGGTCAGAATGGATCGACTATGCATTTATTCCTTGGTTTTGGCTCTTGTCATGCGCACAGCACCGCTGTTCGGTCAAAGAGGGGGTTGAACCAGTCCCTGATTTCAGGTCGGAAACCCGGGGATGTGAGGATTTTGTCCCCGGGTGATGATCGTTCCCAAAAAAAAACTCAAACGAACCAATGTAGCAGTAGACGTCTGAATACCAAAAATCAGATCATGAAACGCTTCAGAACGCACGAAATCAGCCACAAACGCCAAGTGTCCCTTGACAGGGGGGGGGTGGTTTCCTCCATTTTTCGGTGAACAAAGAGGTCCACTGCACCAGCCCTATAGCATCTACACTTGCGATTTTTTTTTTGGGGGAGATAGCCTATGATATATCCTATCGCCTGATACATAAAAATACTTACAATTCGCTTTCACACCCACCCGAGAACGAGCTGTTGGCGCGAGAGGTGGCTTACGCGTCCCTTAATAGGTCGGTTTACTCTAGTCTAGGCGGTTGATAGCAAAAACTCACACCAATTGAATGGTGTAACAATAGTATTGACAAGTGTGCGACCTAAAAATTTGTTAATACCTTTGAAAATACATTGACTTGATATGGGCCCGACAGGAAGTGACCAAGTGCGGGTTTGGCAGCTGTCCATCTACAATCCTGTCCACCCAGATACATATAATGATGATAACAGAATTCGCACCTCCCCTGGGTGTGAGTGTGTGTGTGGGATATCACACGGTGACGAAACCTGGCCTCTGATCACGACCAGTGTTGTTGCCATGTTTTAGTCCAAATAACATCGTGCGCGAAGCCGAGGGGAAAAAACATGTATTTTTGAACATAACGACAACGAAGTTCACGAAGATACCTTGGCGTAGGCGGCGCATATTTGCTCATTGCTCCCTCGCATCAGCTATCGTATCGTTTTTGTGACCTCTCAAGGCCCAAAACAACATCTGGCATTCTTAAAATCCACACACACACATTCTTCGAAATGCCAAAAAAAGCTCGACCAATCGTTTCACACGGCGAAAGGGTTCATACGCCCCCCCGACATCATACATACATATACACCCTGCCAAGCTTGCCGTTGATCCAATCAAAGCCAAGTTCGGTGGTATTCTCAAAAACGTTCCCCTCCGCGAAAACCAACGACGGGGAATGTGCGCGGAACATTTCCAAGGAGGATGTTTTGTCGAGCTGTTGGTGGCACAGCAGCTCAACGCGCTAAACACACCCCGTGACAAACCAACACGGAGTCGACTGCAACGACTTCCCCCGGGATACCAGTATAGGCACCCCGTGCACTTGTGCACGTGATCGCCATAAAAAAAAAATCTCGTTCCACGACAACAGAGCTCGTCTTGACTGCCAACTATGAACCCACAACACACCATCTACACAAATTGCCGACATAATGTTTCGAGGGTAACAAAAGCACAGGTAATCTTGGGGAGTCTAATATTAACAAAAATACATACAATCATCATAGCTCCGTCGACCCCGCTCAATTGACATACTGGGTCGACACGCCAGAGGTCACCAACACAGGCCCGTTGACACAACATCGATGTACGTACACATACTCAGAAAAGCCAACGGGTGGCCATGTACCATTGTAAAGGACGGTGAGTGATCGTAAGAAAATTCCTCTATGATAGAATGGAATGTCGACCCGCAGTACCCGGATATCGAATAAAGCCTAACAAAAACGACAAGGGCACTGCAGCCGTCTCTCTCTCTCTCTACCTCTAGCACGGGGAACTACATCGTCGGACTAGAACGCAGGAGCTCTAGGTGACGAGCCTAGCTCGGTCAAGACATGCTCAGACCCACCCGTACGAGCGCAAAACCCGTCCCGTCAACGGCAACACACACTTATTCGTAGCATGCACTTTGCCTCTGTAGAACCCAGCCCCTACGGGAGGTTCACGCAAACTCTTGGTTTTGCATCAATCGACACGACTAGCGACCCAGCGACATGGTTCGGGGAACGCACGGGACTACAACACAACGAGGGCCCGCCTGCCCAGCTGACAGCCTACCGAACCCCCGTCGGACTTCGATCTGCACGACAACGCGGCAACCTAATTGTTGGGGTTCTTCTTCAGCCACTCTTTGTTCAAATCGTTGTGCTCCTTCACGATCTGACTCGCCTGCCACTCCGTCAGGAACACCACCCCCTCGTCGCCCTTGAGGGAACGACCAGGTCGGCGTCCCCCTCCCACGGCGACAGGCCACCCTTGCCTGCGACCCGCCGGCGGATCATGTGATGCCTCACGAGAGCGACCCACGCATCCGGGGCCGCGTCGGGTCGTAGGTCCGGGATCGCGAGCCCGTCTCACTCCTCGATGTACATGCACCTCCCACACTCCTTGCCTGCTCCCTGCAAGCACCTCGCACGGGTGAAACCTGGGCTCAACCTCTTTTTCTCTCTCGTCACGTGCTTGAGGGTGACCTTCGCGTTCTGCTTTCCGGTACCCGAGTATTATAGCCGCTGCCAGTGCCCCCTTCCGTTCCCGTGTGGACTCCATTCTCGCCTTCGTTCTTCAAAGAGTCAGACGAGAGGTAGATAAAGCACGTAGGTTTTAGACGATGAAAATCGCCGCAATTAAGGTACTTCGTACAGAATTAGCAGGACCCATCAGAATAAAATATTTCACCTCGTCCTGAGAAAAACGTGCGAACCTCGGCCGGTTATTTGGGGACGAAAATGAAGGTGGGGCTATTTGGGGCCGTAACAAAAGGTGAGGCCTTCATCATTTCTTACGTTCGGGCAAGACATTTCCACCAGCACCAACCACAGCAACAACTCCGACAACTTCCAACACACACAGGGATCGGCGGAAACGACAACAACAGCAACAGTAACAGTAACGGTGGTGGCAGGATTTAAAGACGATTGGAGAAATAAAGGGGGCGAGAATTCGCGCAGAGGGCTTTTGTTTTCAAAGTTGCAGATAGTCTTGGCGATCCGACAGAATACGCCAAGAACAAAAGCATTTCGAGCGATCTCTGCCGACTCGGAGGGGAATCGAATACACGTGACACAAGAGTAGATCGTGAGGGATAAAAAACACTCTCTTATACACACAAGAGGACATCCAATCGACACCACCCGCGAGTATTCGGGCCGGCATTTACAATAGGGCGAAGGCGAAGGGGGGCACGTCTTGGTATCAACACATCCAATGGAGCACGGAGCGGGGATGCCATGGGCACGTTGGGGCGCGGGGTATCAACACCAACAACACCAACAACGAAGTGGGATTTTCAATCCAAGAAACAGCCGTGCCTCACCGCCCGCGGAAGAGTCGTCCCTCTTCTTCTGGACCAGTTTCTCCTCCTTCGCGGTGGGTTCCCGCTGGCCCTTCCACACCTTCTCATCGACCCCATATTGCCCTGACATATTATATTCGAAGCTAGGCGCAATGAGTTCAACACGTGAACTTCGCGGGAGGGTAGGAGAGAAGGAGTATGGGGAGAGCAGAGGCTACAACGGGCACCATCGTTAACATCATTATCATCACCATCGTCGTCGTCGTCGTCGTCGACAAGAACATGGGGGCAACACCACCGCCATCACCACCACCGCCAACAACAACAGCAAATGTACGAATTCAACGAAGACACACGATTCCACAAAATTTCCCCCACGTGACCGCTGGTCGTCGTTGAACGTCCCCCCGACCTTTTGGTTGAGTGCGATGGACTCCGGGCACCATACCAGCCCCCCGAGGAAGACAAGGGCAAGAATCGCCTCGTGTGGCTCCCTCGACGATCTGTGGGGGTCACCCGTCCTCCACGCATAGGTCTCGGTTCCCACCTCGTTGATGGCGTCCGCTCCGACCAGCACTAGTATAGACCCGCCGGGACGGTCCACGCAGGGCCGTCGTTCGCCACGCGGCCGTTCACCTGACGAGGCTCTCTCGCGCGGACTGCTGTTGGCGGCTGCTGCAGCCCCCTGTCATACCTGTGGGCTGAAGCAGACAGCCCCTCGCCGTAGATCAGCAGGCGCAGCGCACCACTGCCCCAGTCGTGCCGGTTGACTTTGGCCCGGCCCGGACCGACCCGCCTATCTCCGACCCCCACGCCTCGACCATGGCGAGCGTTATCTCCTTGCACATAAACTCGTAGTCGTGCACGTAGTTTACCTGCCCCCCGTAGTCCTTCGTCCGATCGAAGACCTCGATTTCTCCTTCACGCATCTCGCTGTCGGTGAGGGGGCGCTTGCGCAACTGGTCGAGGGCAAGCGACCGCCGGAGACCGCACTCCCCACACGCTTCCTAAAGGACGTCATCCGTTGACGCATCGCCCCCCATGTCCTTGGCGTTGGCGACTTCCCGCGCGATCCCCCCCATCTTGGCGCGGTTGCTGGCGAACTTGGGGTCATCCATGGCCACAATAATTCTCTCGAACAGCTCGTTCTGGTGAAGTTGCAGTTGCAGAGGAGCGCGCACGACCTACAAATACGCAAGAGGGGAGAGAGGGGGGAGCGAGCAGACAGAAGTGGTGGTTGACACGTNNGGGGGGGGGGGGGGGGGGGGGGGGGGGGGGGGGGGGGGGGGGGGGTACAGCGCGAGAGATAATAGCAAGTCCGCAAAGATGGTGGTGTCCTACGGACATAGCGTTAGAAAAGGGTACCGGACTACGCGCGCCAGTTTTGGTTTCTCTGGACGGGAGTACCTCGTTAGACATGATGCAAGACTACAGAGCAGGCCGCCGGATAGCCGTAACGAGGTTAAATGCTGTCAATTCGACGCCATACTTGCCTATTCTTGTCCCGACAAAAAAATCAACATTGACATTTGAGTTCACTGTCGCGCAGACAAAAAATGAATCACCACCATCTTGGTCGGTCGGGCGTAAGGATAGGTTTGGGTTGTTGGATGCTTCCATGGTTGCATGGACCAAGTTACGCGGGTACGGCAGAAATGACATACTTTACTAGAAATGACACGCCATTTTAGCTTGGACAGCACCGACTGGAAAGCGGGAAGAGAGTGATGGGGAGGGGGAGGGGGGTAAGATGACCGCACTCGAAACCATTTCACACAAAACTAATATCACGGTGAAGCGTTCTGGAAGATTAATTGGAAAATCTTCGCCAGTTCGTGTCGTAGCATAAAAATGAGGAGCGTCACGAACGGTTGAGCGACACACGACATGGCACGAAAGTTCGTCGTGGAAGGTGACACTAAATAACCTACCTGTTGGTTTTAGGTTCGTGTGACGGACACCATTATATGTGTTTGGACGGGGGGGGAGGGGCCGTGAGTGGAACAGAGAGGGGATGGACGGGGGGGGGTTCTTGGGCGTGAAGGTTCATGAACGCAAAATCGAAAAACAAGAAGCGTTAGTACTTGCACCATCGGTCACTGTTACTGTCAGAGTTTTGCTTTTAATCACCTGGGAATCTTGGTTGAGACAACCTATAACACTAGCCATTCAACAACAAATTCGACTCTATTCGGAGCCTCCCGACACAGACACGTACCTCTGGGGAGACCATGGATGTGTCCACCAAAGACATCCCCGCGCCATGTAAGACACCGTCGGTCCATGACGAGGGGGAAGCCAATTCTCCGTCGGGAAAGATATCGGGGAGAGAACCCCTGTCGATGATGGATGGTGCCTGTGAGGATGCGGAGGTTTAAGCTGTGGTTGGTTGTTGTGTACGGCAAATAGGCGAATAATGTTTCGAGTGGCAACAATTTTACATCCACACCTTACCCCCTCCACGTTGAGATGGCCGTGCGTTGGGCGGTCAGAGGAAAAATTGAACACAAAAGAGGCGATATCAGTAGTTTTCGAAAATAATCATTTTCGAAACGAGTGATGATGCCGAAAATTGCGGGCACCGTCTACACTCAACAACGTGCGCAATGAAGACACAAAACAGCTTTTACCTGTTTGGGCGCGGGCGGGGGTCCTGGGCTGTTCGTTGGATGAGACCCCAGAACTCCCCGACCGGCCGCCAGCGTCTCGCATGCTAGGGGAGGCGAGACCGCTTGGCTCTGGAAAATATGAAAATATCATCATGACAAACGAGCTCTGTTATTGAATAGATGCATAAGACCACACACAGTCGGAACAAATCAAACATATCCTTGGAAACACACGCTCTTTCGACGTGTTCTGTGCTGTCGATGGCTCGCTTCTGAAAAAAACATCGAAGGACCCGCGAAAACCACCCCGTCTTCCTCGCACCTGTGTAGCGTGGCGACGATAAGTTGCCAGTCAGTGTGCAACTAACTGCTATTATAGCTTGGAACCGCCAAGAACATGATATAATACGCTAGTCTCCTTGAATTAGATACGATCGGCCCATCCGCTGAAATTCCTTGTGGTGGGTGGTCAGTGTTTTCCGTGTCTAATCTACCAAGTAGTGAGTGTTTGATATGGCTCGACACAATACGTCAAAGGGAAGAGGAACGGAACCAATCATCATACTGAATTACCTCTTCCTTGGTTTCTTACATCGAAGCCCGGACGTTGGGGTGCTGTGCGGGCCGGCTTTCCCGGTTGATCGTTGGCCGCTCGGGCGTTGCCCTCCCCTTGCGATCTCTCGGGCGTCGGCACATCGCCATCCCCTTTGTCACCGGCCTGCAAGTTCAGTATGAGAGTATAGGGCTGGATGGTGTTTCGTCCTGGATCATGCTCGCGTTCGTAAGGTCAAGATAATCGCCAACACCACTACTACAGCAGTACGTACCATTTTTGTTTTGATAGCACCAAATGGAAGGCGAAGAGAGTGTGGGCAGAGTGATGGTGTGGGGGTGGGGGGTGTTCGAAACAGGTTGACACAAAAATGGGAAACCCGCGAGAGGCTTGTTTGGTGTTTGGGCGGGAAAATATAAAACCCTCGCGAATTTGCAGGTATCATGCATGGTAGACTAATTACAGAAGAAAGAAAGGAATGTAGGTGTTGACAGCAGTATACCTGCTGCTGTCTGCTGTACAGCGAGGACGTGGCCACTAACCAAGTCCTCGGCTGGCGTAAAATAGACGCCAATCAACTAACGCCATCTAACGCCAACTCGGAATGGAACAAGTCCGACCCCATCGAAGCCCTAGCCACGTACCTCGATAGTAACCCCGGAGTAGAGTGACGACGACGGAGTCGATAAATCACCTCGCTCTCCTTCGGCGGCAGGTTCCACTGACATGGTATTGTTTCCAACCACCTATCCATACCGTTGCCAGCACTTGGCGATGGTTGCTCGCCCCCGGCACGCCAATGTCCACCGACGTCAGGGAGGCCCCCCCAAACGGGTCTGTGAGGGGTATAGGGGCTGGCGCAGGGGCAGCCTGTGTGCACGCGAGGATGTAGTATTCATAGCAATGAAGTGCTCTGAGGTCATTGCTACCATCGTTTACATTGGCCTCGGTGTGGATGTGACAGGGGTCAAAAGTTGCTGCTTGCTACTCTCGCGTAGTGCGAGTACTGCTGTACACGCTTGCAGTCAGTGGATGTGTGTGGGTGGGGTGGGGTGGGGTGGGGGGGGGTCTATATTATGGGAAAATACCAACTGCTCTACTAACCATACGCAATTCGACCGCTACATGTATCTACCACAGGCACCGAAGGTTGAGTTAGAGTAGAGTAGAGTCATCGATAACTCTGGAATTTGGTACTTTCAGGTGCTCCGAGTCATTGGAGAGGGTAACTTGACTCGTAATTAACCCTCTTATCACGCTGCGTTTTTGATAACAAAACGACATTGGACCCTAGATACGAAATTGAACGACAACGAACGGTTAACTTGGTTATGCAAATAAAGGATGTGTCAACATTCTGGTAAAAAAAAATGTCGGCACATTCGAGTCTAAAGCTAGAACACACTCAGGTGGCGTTCTAACCTACATAGATTACGGTAGTGTTATATACGACACCGGTGTCGTACTTCCTTATATATATACGACACCTACCATTTCTTGGCCCACAGGGCTCCAATCGGCGTACAACAAAATGCGCTGTGTAGCCACGGCCCGCAGCTATCAGCCCATACCATTTTGGGTCAAATCGGCCAAGTGGTTGCGGAGATATCTTAGAAAAAGGGGGCTCAGCAGCATCGCAGCGTTAGGTTCTACCACAAATACGACTGTAACTCCGCCAACAGAGCTCCAATCGGCGTACAACAAAATGCGCTGTGTAGCCACGGCCCGCAGCTATCAGCCCATACCATTTTGGGTCAAATCGGCCGAGTGGTTGCGGAGAAAGAGCCGAAAATAGGGGGCTCCGCAACTTACCGGGGGGGTGTCAGCGACGTTCCGGTCATAACTCCTTGCACAGACATCGCCTGATCGCACGCAAACTCGCGATGAGTAGGTACAGGCCATACCTATCGTTCAAGCCGCTGTGGGGCAAAATCCACCCAGTCAGTGCCATGGTACGCCTACACCCGGCTGGACGGTGTCCCCAAGGGCGGTGTTGTAGATAAGCTTTTATACGACACCGCCCGTTTCTCGCCACACACGGCGCCGATGGACATCAGACCACGTGCACTACATTGGTACAGCCCATAGCTATCGTTCAAGCCGGGCGAAATCCACCCAGTCAGTGCCATGGTACGCCTACACCCGGAGGGACGGTGTCCCCGAGGGCGGTGTCGTAGATAAGCTTATAGACGACACCGCCCGTTTCTCGGCACACACGGCGCGGATGGAATTGCTCGCAGGGCTAGGGGGAGGGGACAACGTTAATTTCCCATGCGTGAATTGTGGGCAGTATCTTAGATCTTTGTTTCCGCGCTTTGTTTCACACCCAGACGACTTTGACACCCAGACGACACAAAGCCTGATGCTACGTAGCGCTACCCCCGTGACACGAGGACTGAAGGGAGAGGTAGGCTGGCGTTGTTGAAGGACAACCTGCGCAAAAGCCGCATAAGTAGGTCGCCTATCGTCGTCTGTGCACCCGCAAACACGGAGGCGCCGACAATCAACGGAGGAAGAAAATCACCGTCCCATACCTCGCAACACGGGAGGTATCATTGAATACAACGACATCGAGACTCGCTCAAGCTGGACCTTCATTCACTCGGGGCCGCTCAAGTTTACGGCGCTACGTGTTAAGCACTACGAGTCGTCCTCCTTCTTAATCCTACGGCTAGGACCCCCAGACCCAGGCCCAGCTGAGTCTCTCATCCTTTTGGCCCTGCGGCTCTTGTCCATCCGCCCTTGCGGGTTACCGACCGGCTTAGCAGAGCCGGTCTGCCCTGGCGGCGCACCATTGCCATCACCGCGCTTCTCCTGTTGTTCTCCCGACTTCGATTTCTTAGGCCTTCCAGCCTTCTTGACCTGCGCGGGATTCTTGGCGCTGTTCTGTCCGGTAGCCTCCGCGAGCTGGAACCTCACCCACTTGTCGAGGTCAGCCTGGATCTCCATGGCCTTCGCGTGTGGAACCGTCCTTAGGATTTCGGAGACGTTTTCCTTGCTCTTGGCCATCATGCTCGCGAACACCCGGCGCTCATCAGTCGCTGATCGAGCGGCAGCTGCTTTTGCCGCACGTTCCGAAGGATGCACGCCGTCCCCCGCGTCGTCGTCGTCGAACGTTGGCCCCCAGAAGTTGTCGTCTGCGCCCTCTTCACACCCGTCCCAGCCGTCGCCGTGCCCTGTCTCTTTCAACACTCTGGAGACGGTCCATGGCTCGTCGTTGCCGTCAAGCGATTGCCGCCAGCGTGCGTGGAGACTGTTGCCGTCGAAGCGGTGGTCGAGCAGGATTCCCTTGAACCTGCAGCCGAGGAAGCGAACTAGCACGGCGAAGTAGTGTCTGCAGACGAGGCCGTGTCGCAACAGCTTGAGGCAAGAGCACAAGTGGAAGCCATTGGGTCCGAAAACCACAACATGACCCGGCCTTGCAGGCGTGAGTTTGTATCGCACAGCCGCCGCAACGTGGACGGGGAGTTCGCCGATGAGGTCGAGGAGGGCCTCCAACGACGTGCGCGCCCATACGCTGCTGTCTTCAGTCGATTCCGCCTCAGGGCCACGCATGCAGTCCTTCTCCAGGTCAGTGTCAGGCGGCGCTTCCTCGAAAAGGCTAAGGTCGAAGCGAACGGCCTCAAGCTTTCGACGAAGGACACCCTCTCCCAGAGGATCGGGGCGGCCGTCGTCATCCGTGGCGCCTGCGCAGATGACCTCGACGTCGTATGACTGCGATCCGCCAACCTCGGCCCTAGCCTCCTGCGGAATGGAGCGGATCAGGATGAGGTGTTGAGGGGGTCACATATTTAGTCCGGTATTTAGTCATATTTAGTCTTAAAGATCGCGTGAGGTACGCGCACAAGGAACTGCCTCGAAAAACGGCCTCGAAAAGGCAATATTTTGACGCTGGGCCTTTTCTGCTTGGAAATTGGAAAAGGTAGCATTTTGACGCTGGGCCTTTACTGCTTGGAGAAGGTAGTATTTTGACGCTGGGCCTCTCATCGTCGCATGAAGATGAGACCACCTAGATATTTATCCCCGAGATGGCAGGGGGGCGGTGCATGAACGCAATGAAGCCATCGAGGTTCTCACCACTTGGCAGTACTGGCTTGCGCCAACCCGTTTGAGCTCTTCCTGGATCGGGGCGAAGATCCCCTGCAGATGCTTCGTCTGGAATGGCAACTCCGCTCCCACGCCTCTCGTTGCGACCCTGAGCGCACGAGGTCGGACGGAGTGTTTATAAGGGAGTTATAACCGTTTGACATTACGCTACGGGGCAACAACAGAAACGATGCTCATGGGTGGCGGCCAACGTTGTCGTCAGTGGATAGGGTGGACACAAGCCCATTTTTGAGACTTTACCCAATGCCTCTGAGATGACTGAGGTTCAGAATAGTCGCAGAGTTTTCGTTGATGGCACAACATCCGGGGCAGAATACGCGCGGCTAGTTCACCGTCTATGTTCAGGTACCAAACGCGATGGCGCCGCTCCAAGGCTGTAACTTAGTGGAACTCACCTGCTGTACTCGACGGCCATCTTCTGGTACAGAAGTTGGAGCTTCTCCCACAGACCGCACAGGGACAGCTTCTTGTGAACTCCGGATCTCTTCGCCACCCCGAACATACCCTCGGTGCGCTGGGTGGCAACCATACCCATGGTGAGCAGTGTCGGCCGGCAGGAGAAAGCCCACTTCGTTTTGTCCCTTGCCAACAAGAGCGCGGGATGGATGTTTCAAGAATGGCTTGGCGTGCTTAACGGCTGCGGCTGCTTATGTTACAACACTCAGAGCAGGGACAGCAAGTTACACGCCTAGTACGCAACATGACTCTCGCTGTAATATTTTGTTCCCGTTTCATGGCTACTCACTGGATAAGGGCGTCCATGTACTCCTCGCACTTCTTGCCCTTCACGATCTTCTCGAGGTCCACCCGGTACCTTGCAAAGGCCTGCGGCATGGCATCGTCGTGCCGGAGGTTATATGACGAGCTCGTAGTCGGTGGTCGGGGCGGGCCGGCGATCTAGGTGTTTTGAGACGCAACGCAACACACACCCATTGTTGATTGTAGCCGCTAGCAACTTCCCCGTCTCACCTCCGGCGTGGCTGCGTACGCAGCACTGCGAAAAAGACGAAGCATTTTCGCCCGTTCTTCTTTGTCGGGGAAGGACGAGGAGCAGTTCTTGAGCACGTTCTTGAAAACGTGCCACAAACAGAAAAGGTGCAAGGTGGTGGTCCATTCCTCCAAAGCCGAAGTCATGGCCCGGTCTGCGTCAGTCAGCATGACCTACGCCAAACAGACGAAGACATACACGTACCGAAACCAACATCGGCATAGGTGTATGAGTAAGGCGACCGGAAAGTTGTATGAAGATGTCTAATCATTGAGGAGGCATCAAGTAGCGGTGAGCGGCGAGTGGAAGGTGTCAGGGACTTGACGCGCGGGCAGCTATGAAGCGAGGGGAGAACCGGGCAATGATACGATGCCCCCCTCACGAACAAAAACGCGTTTGCAGGCGGTGCGCAGCGCACCTTGGGCCTTCGTCCGCCGGCGGCCGTCTCGTACGCTTCCAAGAACCGTTGAAACGTCTCCTTGCATTCCGACCGCAGCACGCCCTGGCCCAAGACACAGCTCCGGTTTTCGTCATCCACGCCCACCATGAAGAGCAGGGGGCACCCGTACCTGCGGAGACCGCTCACCAACACGCAGGACGACGCATAGTGTAATGGTATTGGAGGTAGCCGGTTTGTAGGGCATGAAACGGCAGTTGAGTATCCCTAGGCACGTATCTATCCCATCTGCGGATTCCCCGCAGAGGCTTGATTGAACCCACTCCGGTGCTGGGACAGCATCTGAGGGAGGATATTAAGAGATCATTCAGACGAAGAAGACAAATAGAAGACCCCAAGTTCCCGCTCACAGTGTTAGGCACCTGCCGCACTGCACACCTAAAGTTGAAGACCCGAAATACTACAACAATGGTCAGTAAAAAATGAAAATGGAGGAGGGGGGAAGGGGATACCGAAGCAAAGAAGCTGGCTAGGACGGGACGGAGCGTTCTGGAACGGTGACATTATCCCAGACGTACCTATTCGTAAACACGGTTGTATCCATCTGGACACAGCCGCCGAACCTCGACATCTTCTCCTGTTGGTCCACGGTGGCCCAGAACACATTCACGATCCTCCCCAGATCGTCGAAAGTGCGCTTGACGAACATCCCCGGTTTTGCTCCCAACTTCGCCAGGAAATCGGCGCCGTCCTCGGGCGTGGAGTACAACTCGTCTTGAACCTTGTGGATGGCGTTGTACACCTTGAAAGGAGTCGGAAATTGGAGGGAGACGACACACTTTGGAAAAGGGTCCTCCCCGCCATCAGGACGTGGGTTGCCATCATTGGCCAGCGCAGCTTCGACTTTCGACAAAGTCGCCCTCCTCTCCTTTTCCAATAATTACCGGATAAATGCTAGACCAACCACCACAAACAGCGCCCGCGAAGAAAACTCGTGCTGAGTTACTCACCTTCCTTTTCCCAACTTTGTCCAAGATCTTGCCGTCGTGATCCATTTCGAGCAGTTTGAAGATGTCCGTCGGAGCGACGCCAGCCGCTGTCCATTTACGGATGTCAGCATACCTCTCGTCGACAACTTCGAGCGGGAGGACGTGAGCCTGAGCTCTTGAAACGGCCCCCCGGGGATCGTGGTTGTGCCCGCAGTAGGACTAGCGCGGGAACACCCGACCAGGAAAACGCAAGACAAAACGGAAACAAACGAACAAAACGGAACTTGAAACGAGAGTGCCAATGACCGAAAGACCATCCAAACCAGGATCAACATACCGTACGGACGCGACGTGTATTGGTTGGTTCAACATCTAAACAAGACGTACAATACTTGCTCGCAGGAAGGGCATTCGGTGGGCGTACCC